TGGAACTGTAACTATAATCTAAACTATAACTGAACGAAATTTCTTTTTGTGTTAAAGATAGGCTCTGTGTCTGCACCCTCATGCTCTATCTTTACAGTTCCTTTCCCTGAAAAGAGATCACTCGGGACAAACTCTTCAAATAACACTTCATAACTTATATGTATTAAATAACCAGAAGCCAACAGCTCCTGATAGAAATTGTAATGTTGCTTAGATCAGAGAAATTGCTTAGAATGTACAGAAGGCAGCAGCTCACCTCTCAGCAAGTGGCCTCGATTAACAGTTAAAAAGTCTGAAACATCATCTAATTTTACATCTTACACATTAGCAGATGATTAGATATCCATGGCTCCAGCCTTATCAAAATATTACACTTTGTTCTTAGCTGAAGGACACCGCTCTTATTCCATTTCCAGATCTTTGTCATGTACAGATTGAAGGTTATAGCTGTATATCCAGTCAGAGGAACTGCCCTAATTAGATTAAAGGCACACTATGCAACATGTTTCAGTTAATTAATGTGTTCCATAACGTTTTGGATGATTGAATGAGTCATTTCAGGTTGAACAAAGGTATTCTCGGCCGCCCTGGTGGTCTGTGGGGGAAATACTGCACTTGCAATTGCAGGAGCACCGACCCGCACCCACAGGCTCAGAAGTCTCGCGAGAGTCGGTCTTGCTTTACGGCGAGAACTGCTACACCCCCCAGTTAAAAGCATGCTCGTTGCTAGCCCAGTGGCAATCTTTGTGCAGTGCTGCTTTCACACCGGACGCAGCAAAAGCAGCAAAATCGCGTCTGCTGCTTCATTTTTGCTGCTTGTACCAGTTAGTTCTGACGCGCGGCTGAAGCAGCTTTGCTGCTCTGGCTGTGCGGTGCAAAAGTGTGTCTGACGCGTGTTGGGCGGAGCTTCACTATCCTTTCTCTGCCTTGCAGCTATATTTGCTGTGATCAGTGGGAATAAAGTAGTTTTAATATGTTTTTAAGTGAGAAAATACACCTGAAAACGCAATCAGTGCAGTCAGTTCATTCAGATTATCATCATGCCTTACAATATTTTTTCTGTCGGAGCCGCTCAGACCCCTACATACCAGCGGTGCGCCGACAGTAGGAATCCCTTTATCAGCAGCCTCTGGCCGGGTCGCCTCCTCGTGGTTCACCGCGGCAGCTGGTAGGTGTTTTTCATCTAAATAATCCAAACTGCAGGCAGCAGGATAATAAAAGCGAACAAATTCTGCCGGCAGATTTCTGCATTTTAAGTTAATTTAGGCGTCAATAAACTGTTTAAAAGGAGTGATCATCAGCGCTGTGTCTCTCTCCCTGCAAGCTCCCAGATCAGCTTCTCTGATTGGTTGACGCGGCGCGTCGAGCAGCAAAAATTCAATTTTTCCATCTCGAGCAGCAGCGCGTTTGCGGCGCGTCACGCGCGTCAGATCATTCGTTGCGTTCGCCTGTCTGCTAAGCTCCAAACAACCGCGCCTGGCTTGACGGAGAAACCAGGAGAACAGCTGTGCATATTTACGACAGTGCACTCTTACTTTTTGCCCTCTGGGGGGAGCCTTGCTGGAAAATCAACACCGGTTGCATAGTATAACTTTAAAACGTCAGTTCTGACATGCAACAGGCAGCCAATACCAAGGTGTAATAAATTCAGACATCTTCAATGATAATTATCTTAACTTATCCTAACTTAGACAATAAAAAGTCTTTCTAAGTCTAATATATAGTAACTTATATACAGTAAAGGGGTGGTGGTAATGTGTGGTTTCTGGTTTGTTAAATAAATAGTATAAGTTATTGCAGAGTTAATACGCCAGGTTATAGTGCAGCGGCATTATAAGGTCTGATGGCAGCAGGGATGAATGACCAGCTGTAGCGCTCCTTTTTACACATGGGGTGCATAAGTCTGAGTCTAAGTATAAGTCTGTGCAGGAGGTGAGAGGTGATGTGCATGATGGATGTAAGCTTGGACAGCTCCCTCCTCTCAGCCAGTTCCTCCCCAGAGTCCAGAGTGCAGCCCTGGACAGAAGTGGTCCTCCTCTCCAGCTTGATCAGCCTCTTTCTGTCCCGCTCTGCGTTGCTTGAAGCTCTGCAGACAATGGTGTATTTATTCATATATACATATCTATATAAACATATATAGATATGTATATATATACATATATACATTCCAAGTAAATATGATTTCCAATTTTAATTATTTTCATTTATTATTACTTTTGTCAATTTCTATTTATTTTACTGGCAGCTGATTTTTTTTTTAGCTTTAATGGAAGGGGATGTAAACTTTCAAGGTGTCGGTGTGTTAAAGCAGAATTGCATCTAAATGTGAAGGACAGCTCTCCACGACCGGAGTCTGACATCCATGCTGTAAAGATTGAGTTGTTTACCAGGATCGGCCTGAATTTAGCTTTGATGTCCACTCCTTTAACTCCTTGATGCATTTTTCTGGTCCCTGCTGAAGAAAACTACCCACAACCTAATGGTGCTACCACCGTGCTTCAGCATAGGGACGGTTCATTAAAATATATGTGCTGTGTTAAGTTTTTTGCATGTAGACCAGAAAGTTTCCTCTCACCAGAGCTTATTCTTCCAGATATATTCTTGTTACAAACTGCACTCAGAGACCCTCATGACTTTATGTCAACAATTGCATTCATTTTTTTATACCCTTTGATAAAGATCAGATGCTGTTTTTCACTACTAATTATGTCTGTCAATGCTTTTGAATACATGTCATTCACCTAACCCTGATTTAAATGTCTCCATAACTTTATCACTATTCTCTTTGCTTATAACTCTTTTGTCTTCATAATCAGCTCTTAACAGACCAGCTGGACTGAGATTGAGCTTAAATCACACAGTGCTTTAATTATTCCTTATTTCTTAGTGAAAGTGAACTCTTATTTAGAGGTATCAGAGTAAAGACAACTCTACCATGTATGATTTATTCCTTTTCTTTTTAATTTCGGCCTGAGCTTTGTTAGTTGATACAGATAAAATACCTTCGTGGTTTCATAAGTATTTCACTAAATCACTTTCTGTTATAGTTGAAATAGTTGTGCACACATTACAGTTCAATCACTAATATTGATCTGATTCTTATGCAATAGTTTATTTATAACCTCTCTAAGATTTTTCTCCATTGAATTGAATTTAATATTGTATTTTCTCAAATTCTATTGAAAATTATTGTAAAAGGTCTGCTAAATATTAAAAAAATTTATGTGATTTGGATCAAGACTTTCATAATCCAACTTTAACAATCCAACGAAAGATCCTATAAAATCATCATTTTATTCACACTCTGCTTTATTTGTGATTCCAAATCATTTATTTTCTCAACTTTACAGCAGGAGTTTTATATTCCACTCAATCTACAGATAAATAATATGTCTGTTTTGCACAGCAGAAATAAAGACATGCTTGCTTGTTGCGTCTGCTTTGTCGTGCTACATTTCGACATGCTGCTATAATTGTGCTTTGGTGCTCGCTATGTCCATAAAATGAACTAGGTGGTTGAATTCTGGAGCATCTAAGCTTTCCAACGATTTCTAACATGTTTATATTGGTAAACATTTTATGAGTGTAATTTTCATGCATTCTGATTATTATTTGTAAAAGCATTAAAACTGGGTTTTAAGAGTTAACCTCACTATTGGGTCAGGAGCAAACTTTCGCCTTATGTTGAAATAAGATTTTTGGATCATAGAAACATGCTCCACACTCAAGTGTTCAGGACAGTTTTAACAGAAACGAATAAAGTCAGCTGATTTTTTTGGGAATAACATTTTTGCAACGCACTTCAACTTTAGAGGGAGGTTGAAAAAACGTCTTGCAGGCTTTTATTTGCATTTGCTCTGCCACCGCCACACCTGAATTTCCCCACCGTGGGAAAATATGTGTTATGTCTATTCTATATAAAAAAAAAACAGAAGATCATTAACAAGAGATTTTAATACAATGTGTAAAAAAAGAAAATAGCACCACGACAAACTTTTGGTGAAAGGTTTTACAGAGTACGTCTACAAATCACCACTTCATGCATCTATACAAAAATCATCTCTGAATAAAAGTGCCTGATCGAAGAAACCTCTACAGGAGGCGGGCACAAATGCAAACATTCTCATCACTTCATCCTGCGATCTTTTTCATTCAGAAAACCAAGGAGAGAGGTCACAACTGGGAAAAATGATCGATGAAAGAAAATGAAATGTACAATAAAATGTACACTTTACAAAGAGGACCTGTAATCAAAGAGCGAACAACAAAAAAAGCTCATATTTAAACAAACAAAACTATAAAGAATGATGAATGAGGAAGAAGGTCTGCCGGGGGGAGTGGCGGGTCTTGGACAAGTTAGCCAGGGTGGGGTTAGATTTTTTCTTTTTTTTTCACTAGAACACAGAACAAAAGAATGAAACCAAAATAACAGGGCGATATTATATATATTAAGTGAGCAGCAGAGCCAAAGATCCACTTGTTGCTTTGGATACAGAGGAAAATTGGGATTCCGTCTCAGTATGAATGGATTAAGTTATTAATAACATTAAATTATTCCAAAAGATTATTAATTTTACCATAAGAAATGGATTTAGTATTATTCACTTCAATGCCTGGGGAATGACAGAGGTCAGAATCTGTATGGGACACTGGCCCCTGTCGGCCCCTATCTAGAACCTATCCTGGAAATTGCTTTATTAATCAAAGAAAGCTCTGTGTTTTCTACAAATTAAAAAAACTTATTAAGGCATTGAAGGGGCACTGTCATGATGCTTTCATGTATTTGCTTGAACAAAAATTAACAAAAATAACTATATAGTCACATCACTATGAGAACAGAACTGTCCTATTAGAAGAGCAGGCATCCAGGCTATTGCTTTACAACCATCCTCCTTCCTAAGTGTCTTTGAAGGCCAGTCTATTGTCCCATGTGGGGAAAATCAGGATCTCCAGCAGTTCTTGGCTGTTTTTTTAAAAATATAACTACCATAGTGCTCAGTGTTTACTTTAAAACACTGATGGGCAGGGAAGTTGTAAAGTGAAAGAACACGGGCCTCGGATTGTGAAGCTCAGAAGTTCTGAATCAGTCGTCTGACTGATGGAGTCGTCTACGGCTTTACAGGATGACACAGCTTGGTGGCGTCTTTGGTGTTGCTCTGACTGTCGATCAGGACCAGAAGATTCCTCTGGTGGTTCTCTATGATGTGGGAGACACTGCTGAAGTACTGGAGGATAAAAAGAAAATATTTAAACTGTTAAAGGTGGGTTTATTAAAGCCAGAATCCTGGACAGTTCAATGAAAAACTCCTATTTTCTATCTACCTGAAACATTATTCATTTATCAAAAATGAAAATCTTAGGGTTTTTACCGATGACACAAAAATACATTTACTTAAATAAAGTAAGTAAAAGCAATAAATAGGTGGACAAATTAAATTCAATGTGGATTTCCTTTATGCCAAACTGGATTAGACGTATGAGCAGGGCTGTCCCAAACTAGGATGGGCCCCAAAGCAGAAGTTGATCAGGGGGTGGGGGTGGTTTTAAATTGGCTGAGCTTCAAGGATCTTTTGTCTCGGCCTCCATTAGACAGTTTATTATTATTATTATTATTATTATTACTTTAACCAATATGGTGATTTTTTTTATCCTATTTTATATGTTTTTATCTTTGCTGTCAGGCAGGTGAATTTCACCTATCAGGGATTAATTAAGTGACTATCTTAACATCATACCAATGATGGACAGCTGGTTCTAATCTGCTGCTTTGTCAAACTAAACTCCAAAAAAAGGAGAAAAGATTACATTTAGGACTGTAGCTGTGTTAGCACAAGTGTAAAGAATACCAGGTATTTACTTTATTGTTGAACAATCTTCATTGATTGTTGAGAAGTGGAATAAATCAGCCACTTCCTGTAAATGTTAATTTTCAATTCTAAAAAAAACTAAGAAATAATTTAATTTATCTATGCTAGGACCATTGAATCAAACTGAATCATGTCTTTAACTTTAATAAAAAAGCAACAAATTTAATCAGTGGTCTTTATTAAAATGTAAGTATTTATGGGGATCCCTGATTGTTCAGCTCTCTATATGAGCCCAAGTATATAAAAACATAAACCTCTAACGCAATGATAAATAAACTCCAGGTGATCTGCTATATTTCTGGCTGGATGCTCGACCGCCCACCAATATAAATTAATATTCACCATTGAAATCAACATGTTTCCTGGTGCTGGACAGGATTCTCCTTTTTTAAAACCCATATTTGTCAGAGCTTAAAAAATCTAGTTAAATATTCTGGCCTTCAGCTAAAAACAACAGCTGTTTGCATTCAGTTAAAGATTTAGGGTGAAGCTATAGAATTTTGAAGTGCTCAGTTTTTCTGCAATTTATTGAAGCAGGTCCTTAGCATGATGACAAGGCCACCCTGCAGGATAGTAGGCTTAGTTTTGAAAAGCCTCACTTTAGTCCAAATATTTTTTGGCCAGTTAGCTTAATCTGTCCGTTTGACCTCAAAGGTGTTTAGAGCAAAGGTTGGTTCCCCTTTTACGGATCCCCTCTGATGACATGGTCAAAAAAAATGTATAATTGTGGCCACGAAGTAGTATTTCGTGCGCATAAAATACTACTTCTTGGCCACGCAATAAGTTTAACGTGCGCACGAAATACTTATTAATAATATTAATATCATTCCTGGAGAACTGGGTAAGCAAATCAAGCGCGCCTTAGACCTTAGAGAAGGTGCGCTAGATTTGCTTACCCTGTTGTCCAGGAATGATATTAATATTATTAATAAGTATTTCGTGCGCACGTTAAACTTATTGCGTGGCCACGCAGTAGTATTTCGTGCACACGAAATACTACTGCGTGGCCACAATTAAAAATTTTTTTTGACCATGTCATCAGAGGGGCTCCGTACCCTTTAGTCCATTTTGATGTAAATCTGTTTGGTTCCAGAACATCCTCACTAGATTCCTTTCAACCCTGCAGTAAAGAAGGAAAAACAACTCACATCCCTGACAGATTTAGTATACATTTTCCCATTGTGGGACAATAAAGGGATTTTCTATTCTAAAAAAAAAAAAAAGCCACTATCTGATAGGAAAAGAAACAGGTATAATAAAAAAATTGTGTATTAATGTTTGATAAAAAAAATATGGCATCTCTAAAAAATTATGGAATATTCTGAGATCCTTCTTATATTAGCTGACCATCTTTTTGCCTGTTTCCACTGTTGGCGACCTTAAAGGTTTACTTTAAGCCCAAATCTGCCAAGGATATAAATAACTTTGTGCCTTAATGTTGGTGTGCCTTAAAGGTGGTTTTAAGTTAGTCATTAATTTAGTCTTCGGTTGACCCCAAAGAAAAAGTTTAGCTTTAGAAAATGATTAGAACTTCCCTGATCAGCCTACTCTACGGCTGATCCCAACCCAATTAAAAACGTTTCCAGTACAAACAAAAGTTAAAAACAAAAACGACTAATTAAAAGGAACTCTGGATCTGTCAGGTAGAGGAATCAAGTGTCTAACCAGAATTATTTCAGGATGCAAGGTATAAAATGTATTGTTTTTAGGTTAAACTTAATATTTTCTCTGTAGTGTAGTGGGAGGAGACCCAGAGGGAGACGCAGGACACATTGGAGGGACTGTTTCTCAGCTGGCCTGGGAACGCCTTGGGATTTTCCCAGAGGAGCTGGCCCAAGTGGCTGTGGAGAGGTCTGCGCCTGCCTGAAGCTGCTACCCTCGCAACCCAACCCTGGATAAGTGGAAGAGTATAGATGTATGGGTTGAACTTTAGGGACAATTATCTGAATATTAGCAGGAAGCATATATGTCATGTTAAACCTAAGAAAGGCTGCAACAATCACTGCTTGCCAAAACAAATCTGTTCATTTTAGAGAAAATATAGAGTAAATCATCAATCTCCTAAACCTGCTCTTATGAGTTTTCTCATGTACTGTATAATACATGAGGTGGGCTTTATTTTTTTTAATAAAAAGTATGCAAACTTGTTTCCTAGAAGAAAAATACATTTTGTGAACCTAAAATATAATAGTATCTGCAAGTTATACACGTTATATTTGTGCAAATCAACTGTATTAATAATTTTAACTGGCTTTGACTTGATAGTGATGATAATCTATTTTTTGGTACCCATCCTTGCAGCTATGCTTAATGCATGTTTGTTCGAATAGTAGACCGAGACACATGGACACAGCTGCAGCTTTAAAAGTGCAGCTTTTCCCCTGCACCTAATATTCTGTCCAACTCCAGGAGGGCGTGTATGGCTTGCAACATTACACAACATGCATGAGTAAAGCACACAGCTGTTTCCAGCATTTTCCAAGCCAATTTATGCCATCCAATAGGGACAGTCTTTAAAAAAAGTAATTCACAATCTGTTGATCGTAATGATATTTATGAGCTAAATACTTATGTTTATATTTTTATACCCTCACCAGTAGGAGCTGTTGCTCAACCCCCATGTGTTTCTGCAAGCAGCTGTCCACATAGTTATCTTTTTTTCTAGATTGTGCAGACACGGCATAGAAATGCATGAAAGCTAAAATAACAATCTGACCACAACATTGTAGACTAAACGCAAAGAAATGCTGCTGAGGAGTGATTCTCAAAGTAGTACTTACAGGAAATCCCACTGACTCACCCTCTGTGGTACTGTTTGAAACAGCGCTGACTCATTCTGAGCAGCGATAACCCGCTACGAATCACCTTTTCAAGGTTGAAAGATTAGTCTTATATCTATTACCTGTTTTACCTTTTAGGGGACTTTTAAGCCGCTAGAGCAGGGGTCAAAAACCTGGTGCACCAAGGGGGCCTCTGCATCTCCTTAAAACAGTCAACTAATTTTATTTTATGCTGCTGCTCTTATTTTTGTTAACATTTATAAAGCATTTCGTCGTATCAATAATTTAGAACATGTAGGCATTTATTTGGATTTCAAAATGACAATATCTAAAAGCAAATGAGAAATGAAAAGAAATTATCGAAATGTGTTTATTAGCTATGAAATTCAGATGAATACTGACTCCTCCAGTTCATAGGTCAGTAATGGTAGCCCTTCCTATGACTCAGTACCAATGAAGTCACCCTCGGTCTTAAAAAGGTTGGTGACCCCTGCACTAGAGTTATGCTTAAATTCAGAGATGGCAAAAGTACTCACTTTCCGTACTTGAGTAAAAGTACAGATACTTGTGTTAAAAAATACTCTGGTAAAAGTGGAAGTACTGATTAAACCTTTTTACTCAAGTAAAAGTAACAAAGTAAAGGCTTGTAAATTTACTTAAAGTATAAAAGTAAAAGTAGAAACCACTTTTTTCATGCCGTTGCCAACATTTTAAATGGATGTCTGCCAATAGGACTAGATCTCCGTTGTGTTCATTTTCAATCATCTCGTCGTCCATACTACTATGCTAACGCCACCGCCACCAAGCTGCAATGATTTGCCGCGAATGAATACCGCCGAATCTGTCGATTCATCTTGTAGTGGTGCGTCAAATGCAACGTAGATTCCCATCCAATTAGATTGAATTTGGTTTTGATTACGTGAAAAATAATAACGGTAACTCCATTGAAATGATTCAAAACTAAAGTAACGAGCCAATTTTTTAAAATGTAAGGAGTAGAAAGTACAGATATTTGTGTAAAAATTTAAGGAGTAGAAGTGAAAAGTCGCCATAAAAATAAGTAGTAAAGTAAAGTAAAAATATCAGAAAAATCTACCTGAGTACAGTAACGAAGTATTTGAACTTCGTTACTTCCCATCTCTGCTTAAATTTAAGGGAAAAATGAAAGTAAAGCTCTGAATAACAGACTATGTAAGTGAAGGAAGCCATTTATATTGTAAAATTAAAACTGCATTGAATTGGACGATGTATCTTTTAGTCAGATCATTTTAATTTACAGATTCTAGTGATTCAGTTCATTCAAAAGAACTGATCCTCAGTTGGGATCCCAAGATTCTTTCTGCTATTTTTTTTTATTGCAAGTCAAAACATCTCTAACAATAGACACTCTTTGTCTGAGTGAAAAAAAACCCCGTAATTAAGGATTGGTCACACTGATCTCCATGTTTCCTCCTCTTTCAAATACTCAACTTTCTTTTGTGGACTCAATCAGCATGTTTTGTTACCAAGAAATATATATATATATTTTTTAATTTTTGTAAACTTTTTTAACATTTCACACCGCCTATTTACAATTACAATAACTATAAAATTGATGAGAACCAATTTTTTTTTTCAGTTTTCAAATTAAAACTGAACACACTCTCCAAACAGCTATGCAGCCTGATTAATTAAATTAATATTGACAACTTAATATGACATTTACCCAAATAGAAGTGTACTAGGGTATATTTCTGAATGTTACTACATAAACAATAACCTGTTTCTATTATTAAACGTACAAATGTAAATATTTTAATAGTCTAAGCTGTACCTCCTCTCCTTTCTTCTCTCTTCCCAGAGCATACTGCCTTGTGCTCGGCACAAAGCGTATTGGGATGTTGTAGACTCTTCCATTGTAAAAGACCACTAACGTGTAGGGCTGCTGCACATCCTGACCAGAGCTCTTTCTCACCAGGAACGCTCCGTCCTAAAACAGAAAACGCTCATGATTAAGCCTAACAGCTTTACCGACAAACACATATTCTCATCCACTTCATGAATCAGCATTCATACCATGTTAGATCGCAATAAAGCGTCATCTGCAGTCTTGCGGTCACATGTGCTGGCAAACCAGGGTTTGTTGTAAACATCACCATCCTGAAATAGAATCAGTTGCTTAGCTGAAACATTGGAGATTATTCCTCCCTATATAAATGAGATTATAAATGAGTAGCACACCTTATCTTGGTCTGTTGAAGCATTTTCTGCAACAGTGCTGCCCTTCTCAGCTGGTTCTGGGATACAAAACAGAGGAACTTGCATCAGTTGATATTAAACATAAACTGAGTGTGAATGGTGGTGAACAGGAAAGAGGAGCAGAACCTACTGGGTGGTGTAATCTGTGGAAGAGGGATTCTGCAGCAAAAGATATACAAACAAACAGCCGTAAATAAATAAACAGCAAGACACGACTGAAGGCTTTAATTCATCATAAAATTGTATGTTTCCTGACTTACTTTGGTCGCTTTTGATCCAGGGAGAAAGCTTTTGGAGTTGGTTTCGGTTCAGAGTGCATCGAAGGCAGGGAGGCACCTTAGGAAACACAGACATCCTGAAATTAGCCATGTTTCGTCTTAGTAATTAGCATGAAGATGGCTTCCAAAAATAAACATGGACAATTCTTTGCAGATGTATTAAAGCCTTCATATATAGCCTTTATATTTTCTGTATACAGTAAGTCAAACACTAAATCGCTCATATACATGATTTACAGGGGAAAGTTAAGTTTTCTTGATGTTTTGTAAACAGACTTGATTGGACTTCATTTCATTTTGGGATATCAGAATAAGGAGAACTGAATAAAAAGGCATGCCGCACATTTTTTAGTGAACTATTTATCTGTGAATAAACTAAAAGCAATTAATCCATGTGAGGTGAAAGGATAAAGATAGTCGGCTCTTTAAAAATCTTCTTTTTAAATGACTTACTTTCAAATTGTCTTGGTTTCAAATCTTGCCTCTGCAATAAAAGTCATCATTAGTGATCAACATTAGAAATTAAAAAGTCATTTATTATTAGGAATTCAATTCAAACAGCAGTCCACCAATTAAAGCTTTGTCTACAGGACTTTATTAGGTTATTAATATATAAACACATTCTTACCGGTAATACAGGCGGCTTTGGTGACCTCCTGTAAATATAACAACAGATCAATATGCGTCTAGTAAACCATAATGACATGCTACAGGGTAAGCCATGCTTACTCTCTTGGAGTTGGTTTTGGTAGACGAGGCGGGGGAGGACCACCTGGAGGTTTATGATTGGAACCTATGAGAGATCAAAGCACACCGTTGTCTTTAAAGTGCCTTTTTACTTTTACAAAATTGCCTCTTTATATCACAGCAAGCTCAATTAACTCAAAGCATGGTTTTAAATGCCTTTTTTCCCCACAAGTTTCTCTTTTGAACCAATACTCACTGTTATCTTGATCACAAAGTTCATATTCATCATCGTCTGTGGGCTGCTGGGCCTGTGAAATATGCAGACATGCAGTTTGTGTCCAATTTCTGCACAGTCTAGAATTTCAGATCTACTATTTAACATCTGATAAAAACATACAGAGAGGGTGGATCCCCAGTTGTTGAGCCTGTGAGGAGAGATATTTATATAGGAAGTATTAGTAATGACATTTTCATTTTAGAATTAAAAAATTGAACGAGTCTGACATGTTTTCAGATTGAACAGTTCCTACCTTGGGCTGGGCTTTGGTACAGAAGGACACTGTTTGGAAGGAGGCGGACAAAATCTACAAAACAAGAAAGGAGATTTTTATGGTTTTCGTCTCTATAAAACAAACAAGGAGTTATGCTTTAAAAAAAATACTTAAAACTACAAGCATTTCAAGCAAACATTTGTCATAACTCTAGAAATTCCTATTTTTTTCCATTAAAAACCTTCAATTTTAAAGTAATATATAAATGGGAAGTTACTCAGGGGTCCACACTGGAAAAACAATCTAGAAATAAGTAAAAAAAATCTTAAATTTAGTGTATTTACCCTTGATTCTAATAGATAAATCACATAATATGCCAATCAAATGAGTATTTTTACTCTTAAAATAAGGTAATTAGATAATATGCACTTCAAATAAGACAATGAAATTGTGTTTTCTTATTTTAAATCTAAATTGTCTTGTTGCATTGGTAAAAAGTCTCTTTTACCTCCTCAGTTCAAGAACAAATGCACTTATTTTAAGAAAAAATTGCTTATCTAGATTTAGATTTTTTCCCGTGCACATCTACTGAAGGCCAAAAGCTCAGGGGTCACACATCTAGTATTTAAAACCATTATGTTAAAAAAAAAAAGAAAACCCCGAAAATATAAATGAATCAGCAATCCAAAGATATTAGAATTACCTTCCTACTTTTAAAGTGATTTATTCTGCTGCATTGACTCATAGGTAAAATAAAACAGTCTAAATTGTATGTAATTCAGAGAAATTCCTCTTCATAATTTCTACAATGTATATCCTTGCAGTAAAAGTATACAAAACTTAATGTAAAATCAATATTAATAATAAAGCTAATTAACTGTACCTCCTATTCAACAAACAAACAGTCAAACAACACTGATAAGGCAAATAAAATATTTTATTTTCATTTATCTTCTTTCAATGCAATTTGGGAGGATGATGATCATTATCTCCCAGTTTAATTAAAAAAGTTACTGCACTTTAACCCGTCAGTCTCAGAAAAGAATAAAATATAAATTGTTATTTTTTAAAGTTAGATTGACACCATAAATGTAGTGATCTAAACCCCTCTGCTGTAGCTCTGGCTGAATGCATAGAGATGCTGATCTATTAGATATTGAAACTCTGCCCTGTTCTTACTTCTTCTGGAGCCTCTAATATCTTAATAGAGTTTTTAGATTTTTCTTTGAGGAAAAAAAAAATCTTTCTTTTCATATTTATGGACCATTTTGTGTTGGTCTATAAAATCCAAAACATATATTGAATATAAAGGCTGTAACAAGACAAAATAATTATCAGACAATATCAGAAAGCTTTGGATAAAAAACGTACTGCCGTTTAATTTATCATACGAAAAATAAAAATATCCAACTGCGACAGTACTGGTCAGATGATGCAAAATGCTGCGTGTGGAGTAAAAGATAACGCCATCCTAACCATCCTAAATAGCATACACAGTGTATCTACAACCACGTCAATAAAGTCTGATACTGACCTGTTTCTCTGGGGAGGTGAAGGTGACTTCTGCAGAAAGGTTAAAAAAAATAAAATAAATTCTGTTTCCTATGTTGCTGGAATATTTGTTATTTATAGAACAGACAATGAGGTTACAGTACTTTACCTCTTTTTCAGGTTCTTCATATAAATCTGTCAAAAACAAAGGCAGAATCAGTCAGAAGAATCGACTTCGCATTAGGAGCCATGAGTGTTACCTTTATCCCTATCTATGTAGCAACCAAATCAGATGTCAGACATTATTATTAATATAATGAGTGTTTAAAACCTTGCAGAGTATAAATGCATGTAACGACATTTTTAAATGTTTAAACTTTTAGCCGATTAGCAAGCTTCACCATCAGCCTTTAGACACTTAGTTCATAGTCTTGTAGCGTTTAAACCTGACTAACAATTATAAGAATGCTAAAGATTAAAGGTTTGTTCTCAAAAAATGATGTGGATAATCTAATAAAAAAAATCAGACATTTCTAAAATGTTTATAACTGTTCTGTAATGTAATGATAGCAGAATATTTTCTTAACCACTGTTGGGGTTAATTTCTGATAAAAACAAACAGTTAATCAAAAGTGCCCGTCGACTGACAGTGAATTATTTTTTTCTTTTAATGAACCACTGCTGTGTAATTAACCTGATTACAGCTGTTTTAGATGCAGGTTTAAATTCTTTCAAGCTAAGCTTCCTCATTGAATCCTCAAAAAACTACATGTTTTGGTTGGGTTGGGTATTTCATTAAGTTGTTATTTATGCAGGTTCATCATCTAGAGTAAATGCTGTTGGTATTCTGGGCTACTCTTAATTTGTCATAAAAACCTGATGCATGCTTGTTTTTGTTGCAAGATTTATTAAGTTAATGTTTGAAATTATTGTAAACTTTGGGCTGTACATGCATGTATTAAGTCATGCATGTATTATGTTGTTTTATGGAGCCTAGGTGGAAGTTCAACTGAAGAAACTGATTGCTCTCCTACATCCACCTACGACACAGCCAATCAGCTTTCAACCACACCTTCACAAAAACCAATTGGCATCCAAAGTTAATCTCAAAAGACCTCGGATCCGCAACTCGTCTGCTACCTAGTCGCAAGCGGTGGTTGCGCTGTGTGACTTCATTCAGATGACCCCGTTTCAACCCACCTCCAGCCCCTCCTCCACCATCGTAGCTAAAACTTCATCAGAGTATCATTACTCCCAGACTCTTACTGCATTCCGCGTTTCATTTTAACCGGTCCGGTGGAAGACCGCCATGTTGAGCCTGGTTCTGCCAGATTTTTCTTCCCAACCGGGATTTTTTCATCTCCACTGTCGCTACACTCTTGCTCATCATAGTCAAGTTCTCTCAACTTGTGCAATCCAAACTGGACTTCCATCTCCAGGTCCCTGATAGAAGCTCTAGTATCAGCTCACGCAGTCCACTGGATCTCTCCATAAAGCTCAGCATACCGTCTCGCTAACCAGCAGTCTACAGACTGACCAACTTCATCTATCTCCACTGCAAACAGCCCTTTTCTTTACTCCTGTTCATGTATATGTATCAAAATTAGGCACTATGTTTCCTGCTGAGGTCTGAGCGCCAAAGACCAAGTATCAATAATTTTCTTCTAATTGTCTTTTCTCTTTGTGTGAGTTTTTCAGATTAAAATGTATATGACCTCAGCTTATGAATATCTTAGACATCTTTTATTGTCATTTTGTATACATACTGTAGAGTGTATACAAAACAAAAATTCATTTTGTTCATTTACAGCTTTCATGACATTTCCATTAAAAGTGCAGCAGTGATCAAATGCAAACAGTGTGGGAGAAAAAAGATGGTGCAAAAAAAAAAAAGCATTGATATGGACATTCGGAGCATTAAGAGTTTTATCGGTTGCAGTAGTTTATACCATGGATAAATGAGACTGCAGTTTAGATTAGAGTTCCATGACTGATCTGCACACTCGCTGGATTTCACTTTCCTTGCAGCCAATATCCAGCCTCTCTGTCAGTAGAGGATTGTTAAAACTTTTGTTCTATTGTTCAGTCCATTTTAGTTTTTTTTTGGGGGGGGGAGTGTAACTGTGTAAAAAAATAAAATAAAAAATGCAGCCCCAAAGGGGACTATAACCTATACAGGACAGCCCCAAGCCCAGATAAATGCAGAGGATCGTGTCAGTAAGGGCATGTGGGGTAAAACTTTTGACGAATTGAAAATACAGTTCAATCATGTGATTTCCATACAAATCCTACAGTTTCTACACAAATGACTCACTGTGGGAACGCCTGAAATAAAAAAAAAAGCCAAAGAAGCAGAACTGCACAACACTGACCAACTTGTACTGGTCCATCCCAGCATCCATTCCATCATTACATGCCTACGTTTCTGCATACTGTCCGGTTCGTCTCCACAACCCAGCATACAAAGGGGTTAAGTTAACTTTAAAAAGTTGAAACTTTCATTGAAACAGAACGTATCCTTAATTTGAATAAAAGCATAACTTATGCCACAAACTTGACTGTAAATATCCATGGCATCCGCTAGATAATTAGTCATAATGTTCTTGGTACTTTAACACAGGATACTAAAAACAGCTCCAGATAATGAGAGTTTTCAAAAAATCTATACTAGGAACTGAAATATCGATATTATATCGGGTAGACAAAAATTACATCATATAGGCAAATCGATTTTTAACAGGGGACTGGTGGCCTAGTGGTTAGTTCATTGAAATCCAGAGGTTCTCAGTTCAAGCCCCACTCCCTCAGAGTGGGAGTGGGTCCCTGAGCAAGAGCCTTAACCCCACACTGCTCCCCCGGCGCTGCACAATGGCAGCCCACTGCTCCCCAAGGTGATAAGTTAAATGCAGAGAGTTCATTTCATTGCTTTGTACTTCTGACAATGTAATGATGGTAAAGTAGAATTCTATTTTATTCTTTCTAAATCAGTAAATACAGATTCAGCTGGTTTTGAGTTATTTGTTGGACTACAGCTGGGTTACTGGAAGTCCTGTCATGAAAGTGGGACTTGGACTTCCCCCCTCACATCCAACTAGGACTGATAAACAAATATAAAGGCCATAAAATCCATTCATCCCTGCATAACTCTATAGTACTTCACAAAGTTGCACATTTATGAAAGAAATTTTCCCTTTTAAAAAATAATTTTTGATGTAATAACATTTCAGAACGAAACCCTCAATGATTAATGATGGATTATTTGCAGGAGGTTCATTATTTTTTGTATTTTTTATTTTATTAATTTGTTGATGGCTTTTATATTGACAGAACAACACAACAGATTGGAGAAAAAAATTATAACAAAATCACACATAAAACCAAGCAGAAACTATAGACTTTTAACGTCGTACTAACTACAGACAGAGGTGATGCATTCTTTAAAGAGTGACTATTTTATTTCCAAAAGTTAAATGTAAAATATTAGGTTTCAGCTGATTATAAAATCAATTACTGCGAACTGGTACCCACCATTAGGACTGGATGGACGGTCTGGTAAAGCTGGAGGTAGAGTGGGATAGTCGCCTCCTGCTCTCTTTCCACCTTCAAACATAAAAATAAAAAAGCAAAACTAAATTGTTGAATTTTCAAAATTAGATATGTGAGTTCACATTTTCTTGTATCCTTGATGTTCTTTCTGCTTTTTACTGCACATCTTACTTGTGGATGAATTGTCTGTGGGTTCTATGTAGTCGTCCTCACCATTGGGATCTGGGTCTATGTAGTCTTCCTGTGGGAAGAAAAAAAGGTGTTCATAGGCATTTAGGAATGTTCAAGGCAGTTTAAATGGCGGCAAAGAAAAGTGCCTTACATCTTTGTCACTATCTGGTTGGGAGGGTTCAGGAGGCAGTTGTCTGGAGGCCTTATCAGGCCGGAGCGGCTTCCTGGGTGGTCGGCTTGGTCGAACATGACAACTGTCTGAAATGAAGAGGAAGAAAGAAGGAAAGAAACATCTCATTTTGCATGACTACATATTTCTGGTGTGTTTTGACAGCATTTCAGGAAATTTAAAGAATGTTTATTGCAAAATAATTTGGAAATGATTCATATTTTGCAGAAAGGATGAGTCAATAAAACAAATCAGACTAAATTCAGTTCAGTTTATTTATATAGCGCCAATTCACAACATGTCATCTCAAGGTACTTTACAGTTAATCAGATCATAAGTCAAATTGATTAAAAGTTTTCTATCTAAGGAAAACCAGTTGATTGCATCGACTCATTGACACTCCCTCACACTAAAGGCTGATTTATTCTCAGAAACCAGGTCGTCTACATGTGTGTCGCAGACCTCTCCAAAATTGTAATGACAGTGCTGCTGACGTGGCATCTGATTGGTCAAATCTACATCAGTTCTACACTATCCATATTTCCTGTTTGGTACCTTACCGGTTTGCTCTGTTTGTATGACCGCCATCGTGGAAAACGACTCGTGAAGTTGGACCAGCTAGAAGAGCGAGGTGCGCGAGAACGCTGGGACCCTTTTTCCACCTGGATCCTCGCTCTTTTTCGCCCTCATGTCCCTCTGTTGTCACACAAACTTGCCCCCATTTCCTCAATGCCTCGGCTGTATCTAAAACCAGGGGTCACCAACCTTTTTAAGGCTGAGGGCTACTTCATGGCTACCGAGTCATAGGAAGGGCTACCAATACTGACCTATGAACTGGAGGGATCAGTGTTCACCTACAGTAAATCTCATGCATAAAAAGTCATTTTTATTCTTATTTTATTCTTTTATTCATTTCTTATTTTTATTTCGATATTGTAATTTTGAAACTACAGAAATATGATGAAATAGTTAACATGATGAAATAATACATAAATGATTAAAAAGAAGAGCAACAGAATAAAAAAAAAAATTTAAACTTAACCCACTGAGTGAGTTGTTCTGTTTTCAGAAGACGAAGTGGGCACCCCATGTGGTCCTTGAGGGCCCCTTGGTGCCCGCGGGCACCGCTTTGGTGACCCCTGATCTAGACCCACAGCTAGTTCATGATTGTCCCTCTTGCGTTGCGGCGTGGCGTTCAGACCACGCTTCAATATAGGGCATAAATCAAAAATATCTGCGACAAGCTCACTGCGACACACTGCTGCAGGAGTATAACCAGCCCTTAAGCATGCTTGTAGCGACAGTGGAGAGGAAAAACTCTCTTTTTACAGGAAGTAACCTCCAGCAGAACCAGGCTCAGTGTGAGAGGCCATCTGCCGAGGCCGACTGGGGTTCAAGGAGACCAAAGCAGACATACAGGAAGAAGCAGAAATAAAAAAGGAAACTATAAAATGCGCCCCCGTCCAGGAAACAGACGGCCAGGCAGACGAGCTCCGAGCCACCTGCCATGTCATGTCCCATTACCAACCTAGATATTCCCCCCTTGGCAGGGCAGCAAAGGGACGTCCAGTGAACTCCCTGTGGACTGGGGGAGGCTCATAACTGTCATCAGGTGTGTCCTCACATGGATTGTTCTGGAAGCAACATACAGTACCTGTCATGCTTCAAAGAGTATTTTCAGCCAAAACATCTAAACATGACAGGCTTTTTATTTCTATCAGGATGACTTACATATTCTGGATCAGAGCCTTCATCATTTTCTCTGTGGTCTGCAAACACAAAAATTCGTTTAATCTTAAGTAGAAACAGAAACTCATTGAATTCCCAGGATACCTAAAAAAAAAAGAACCCAGCAATAACAGCTAATGGGCAGGTGTTGGAACATGTTTTCTAATTTTAGCAAAACACCTCGGCTTTGAGTGCTGTGGGGTAAGCGGACCGTGTCGCCAAACCCGCAGAACCCTGAAATACTCTTTCAGCAGAAGGATTCACATTATAAACAGAAACTGCTCTGAATTAGCTCCGAGGGTTTCTCAGACAATCGCTTAGGGAAGTGAAACTCTATAGAACCAAAGGCTCTTATCAATTAAGAAAAAAATAACGATAAGACATTTCTATTGCCTCATTTGAAACCTGTAAATTTGAACTTTGTTTTTTTAATCGTTCGGCATTCAGGGTTAATGTTTTTTATGTGATAACTGTAACTTTTAAGGTTGGTTTTAGGCTATTTAAAGGAATTGCTCTGCTAATTGAGCTCTTACCTTTGTAGTCTCTGGCAGGAAGGTTTGGACGTGGTTTGGTTTTCAATCTGTTATAAAAAAAACAAACAGTGGGAATACTTATGTATGATCAAGGGTTTATTGTCCTCTGCCACAACTGTTGGGACACATTGGCTGGCAATACTGTGAATACAGAATTTAAAAAGACATTTCTTCAGGTAACTGTTTGAAAAAAGGTAAAAATAACAGAATTATGGCTTTCTAGTGTTTTGTTTTATTTTTGATTATTATAATCTACCTATAATTAAAAACCCAACACTTTTTCTACAGAAAATGAAACTTGGTTAGGGCTCCTTTAGCCTGATGCATGTATTGGCGTCATTGAGGCAATCATTCTGCAGCTCCGAGCACAGCCTGCTTTACAGCTCTTAACGTCCTTGGAAGTAATTTGAGCTGACCTTGGACTTGATAAAACAGAGCATACCAATACCAACGGTTTAAAAAAAAAAGAAATCTCTATGTAAGCTTTAACCTGAACCTCAAACAACTTTCCTCCCACTCTTCCTTCAGGATTCATAGGACCCACATTTCCAAATAAAATGCATGTTTCAGCATGTCATTTTCATCTGAAGGGAGAAATTAGGTAATAAGCTTGGATCCACAAGGAATGTAGCAGATGTCGCCCATGTTTTGGATATTTCTGTCTATGGAGGAGTTTGAGGGACCAACTGCAGCCACAATCCAAGCATTGCTTATCTCCACCAGACATACAAATGGGTTAGGTCATGTCTTAATGAATGTATATATTCTCACAGCTTTTCCTTCCACTAAATTCCCATTAATATTGTTTTATGAGAGATTCTATGAACATCTAACTACTGAAGCTGTGATATTTTGTGGATGTTCTCATCGACCGCCTGCTGGACATCTAGCAGTTAAACAGTTACCCAGTTACGATGAGATCTTTATCAAAAAATAAACAAATTATTTTTTCTGGACCTGTTCAATAATAGATTATGGTAATTATAAGCCATATAGTCATTGCAATTACTGGAAATAAAAGCTTGAAATGCTCTCAGTGTGATGAATCTATGCAATATAGTAGTATCACTTTTTGATCTAAATTATTCAAGTTAATCCGACTTGTGTGCACATTCACAAAGCAGAGTGCGGATGAATAGCATGTGCACCATGTGCTTGTGCCTCTGCTCATGTGTCTTTAGGCGGACTCATTTCAGGAAAGGAAAGTGAGAGAGCAGCCATCTGTTTTAGGTATTTTGGTCCATGTGCTGTTCTCTCTTTCCAATGTTTGTGAAAGAGGAATTGGCATTCTCCACTGATGCATGTACTGTACGCAAACCACATGGAGGATTTTTAGATCAGAAGACTTCTACAAAACCTTTCTTCCCATGAACAAATTTCAGTCTTGCACTTTTCTGGATTTAACTCTATTTATGAGCTCTTTCAAAGAAGTGCAAATGGTAAAAATACTGTATAGATGTTATATAAAAGCATTAAAGCACAAATACAAGAATATGGCATGTCACAGTGACAGCTGCAGAGATTTCAGAGACTGACCTTCTGATTTTATTCAGCAGACTGCCCTCATTTTTCTTGATGTCTTGAACCATTTTCTGAAGTTGCCTGAAAGACACAATACTATTAATCAAAGCTTTGTAATTAGAATAGAAATTCCTTTATTTTAGATTAAAATATAGTTTAAAAAAAAAAACTAATTTAGGTTGCTAAGTTCTGTTTTTAGAAATAAAAACACATACATCTAGTTGTTTAGGAAAAAAACAGCCTTACAATGTTTTGTCCGCTTTTTTTTAGTGCAGCTGTCGTAATTCAAAATCAACCTCTTACCTAATCTTTGCTGTGGCAGGCGCCGCAAGTTTAGTCAACGCATCCATATTCACATTTAATCCAAGAGTTGTCATTTTCTGATCCGTACTCCTCTCACAGATTTAGATTGTGCTGCCAGGTTATTCACAGGTTAGCAAATGAATGCTCTGTATGTCTGTCTTTAAAAAAAAGGGAGTGCTTTTGTTCCAGTTGCTTGAGTCGGAAAAAAAAAAACATCACTTCTCGTTTTTGACCACACTTTCTTGCATCACATGTTTTCTGATTTTCTTCTATGTTGCCCTTTTCCAGCCGGAATTTTTTTTTTTCTCACAACCCCATTAGACTATATCAAACATGATGAAAACTTGAAAATATACTTTAAATCACATTAAAATATGATAAGTCGAACAAAGGGAAAGTTGCTGTTTAGATGTGATGCGTCGAAACAATAGGCCATTAAAATATATTCATGCTATGACGAAAAAATAGAACCTATCAGAAGAATTCATATTTTTAATAGAGTGATAAAAGACATGTCTACGTGTAGTCTGAGGCATCTTTCAAAATCTGGTCATGATTATTTGTCATGTTGCAATACCAGGTTTTTGCTATTTATAGAGAATGTGTCTGCGGCCTGTCCTGCCACCGGAAGATGACCACCACATAACGTTATGCATTGTTATCACGGTGATTTTTTTTTTCATTTGGTAGAAAAAAAACTGTTGCCTCAGCACATAACAGCGGTCATTATTGACTGAGAAAAACATGAAACCTCTTTGTGATACATCCATATAATTCACTGACAAGCCTTTTCAGATGTTCACAAAATTGTTCCAATTTGATTCTTATGAGATAAAAAGTGTCAGGAAGCGTCATGTGGTTAATATGTGAGGCCACTGAATTTTAACATCCTGTTTGGTCATTTCCTAGGAAAATTAATGTCACAGCCTTAATATGAAAAAAAAGACATGCAGAGGATTACATCCTTTTTACATTTAAAGCCTAAAATAATCTCCCCAGATTATAGATTAACTGGATCCTTGAAACTCTAAAAGCTTAAAGTGGCAAATCTTTAAGGTTTGAGCTTCCTCTTCTGTGGAACAGACTCCTCGCTATTTTCTCTCTATTATTTCCATGAATCAGTGGTGTCAAAAGTACACACATCTGTTACTTTAATAGAAGTATAGATACTGCAGTTTAACACTCTGGTAAAAGTTGAAGTATCAACTTGACCTCTTTACACAAGTAAAAGTGAAAAAGTATGTGCTCCAAAAACTACTTAAAGTATAAAAGTATAAAGAAACCTTTAAAAAAAAAAAAAACAGCCAGATGCCAGTATATGAATTGAAAGCTCAATTTTTCGACTATTTGGAAAATTTCTTTGAGATAGGGTCAAGGATGAGGGAGGTCTTGTTGGTCTCAACTGTGTCCGACCTTTCAGACATTTCAACATCTTTTTCTCAACCCGACATTGTAGCATGGCATAGACAATTTGCAGTTTGAAGAACACCTGCTTGCTTCTGATGATTTCCTTTAGCTAACCAAAGAGTGTTTGCGTTGTATGACTCATCCAATTACACTAGTTTTCACTAGATGTGGATGGAGCCAATGATCTGCATTGCATGGCGCATATGATGTGAAATAAACATTTATAAACATTAAATCAAAGCCAAGAGTAACGAGTAACGTTTGTTTTAAAAATATAAGGAATAGAAAGTACAGATACTTGTGTGAAAATATTATGAGTAGAAGTAAGAAATAGGAAGAAAAATAAGTAACGGAGTAAAGTATAGATACCTAAAAAGTGTACTTAAGTACAGTAACAAAGTATTTGTACTTCGTTACTTGACATCTCTGCTATGAATGAGGATATATCTAACTTTAATTTTATTTTTGTTTTGACACTGATAATTAGAAAGTATCAGGCTAATCTGAGCGTTCTCTTTATTTATAACCTATATACATGGAGGACACTGATTGCTTTAAACTATTAATTGAATACATATTTTCAATTAAGGTATTGTTTTTTTTTACATATTTGTAGTATTTAACTTTGAGTTCTCCATTAGCGTTCTCTCACCACAGAGGTTATACGTTCTGGGTTTGGCTGTGACTATTTCCTGACCAGTGACTCACTTAAAAAACGATCTAAAAATTAGTAAAAAATTTCTTAAATTAAGTGTATTTACCCTTAATTTGAGCAGGTAAATGAGATAGTTTGCCAACGGAATGAGCAATTTTACTCTTAAAATAAGATATTTAGATAATATGAACTTGAAATACGACAATGCAATTGTGTTTTCTAATTTTAAGTGTAAATTGTCTTGTTCCATTGGCAAAATGTCTCCTTTACCTCCTCAATCCAAGAACAAATTCATTTATTTTAAGAAAAAATGACTTATCTAGATTTGGATTTTTTCCAGTGCTGTGACTGAACATCACTATGTGCTCCCTCTTCTCTCACACAGAGTGCTCCTACATTTCTATGATTCTTTTTGCTTCTTCCATGAACAAATACTTTAAATTTTCTGCAACTTGCATAAACTTTAGTTTTTAATTTCCATGCAATAAATCCTAGAATCTTAGATGTGTCTTTTCCCTACAAAGCCATTTATCTAGCATCTTTTTGTGTTTCTTTACCATAGATGACTTTTATTTTTATCTCTCCTCCCTGAAAAGAGACAGTGATGGAGCTATTACCACCATTAACTTAATACTATGTGAAACGTATACCTTGGTCTATTGCTCATGCCTTTTTTGTTTTGTTTTTTAAATCTGCTTCCTCTCCTTTAAACCTCATATTGGTTGTGGCAGATGATCATACAGAGTCGGGTTCGGCTGAAGGCTTCTTCCTGTTTAAAAGAAGTGGTTCCTCTCCAGCTTTACCAGATGTCTTCTCAGGATGTTTACTAATACAGACAACTTTTCACTGAGTGGTATTACACGCTCAGCTGAATTTGGCTGTATTGCATGGTGACCATAAAGCTGTAATTGATTTGGCTTAGAATTGGATTGTATATTATTAATAGCAGTTTGTCTTGTATAAAGTTCTGAAATGTTTGTTATATAAATCAACCCAACTGAACTGAGCTGCTTGACTATATCACCAAGTAGATTTGTAAGACCTACAGTATTCTATGTTGAGCCGTGTGAGCCAGCGGGACATGTTGCAACATCGCTTTCCTGTAGCATGTGAGGAATACTTTGAGTTGCAATGTGTAGCTGTTGCACAGAAAAATCACGGCACAATAAAACGGCAGGTCAGTACTTGCTGTGCGGCTTTTCAATTTTCAATTCCTGGTTGAGCAAGTGCACAATGAACAACAACAATACTGGAAACCAGAAGGAAACTGGTGAGAACAACAATTTGTATTCGCCCCATGGGAGTCAAGAAAAACCCTGAACTGAAAAAAAAATGCACTAGTTGAAGGAAACCTTTAATAGCTGGAGAGGTATGTAAGCAGAGTCCTACAGTTTGTGTTAAATAATACATCTTGTAAACATTTTGTAAATGTTTTTTCATTGGTTGCTTTGGAAACCTCTGCTCCAGTTACTCTTTGCAGCTTCTGCAGCTCTACTTGCGGTTGACTTAGCCTTATTCTCATCAACTCTGACCAGCTTTTCTGTAAATGCTGAAAGAGAAATATTTCCATTGCATGTGGTCACAAAAATCACCAGCACAAATATATTTTTCTTTTATAAATTATGATGGTCTTCAACAAAGGGCCAATTTGTGGGATGCTGATTTTCTACCTGAGCTTTGGATCCCAGCAGAGTTACTATAAGCCCCTTTGCCTATTTAGTATAATTAACGCTCTGCTGGTCGTGGTACGTCTGCATTATTACCATATTGTGAACATTTATATAACTAATTTTAGTAACTAAATGTGCTTTTAAATCTCTCCTCCTTCTTCTTTGTGATTCACTAATGTTTTCTAACAACCCTCTGAGGCATTCACAGAGGAAATTAATTTATACAGCTTGAATTACACAGAAGTGGACTCTTTCTCCTAATGAGGTGATTTCTAAAGCCAATTGTTTGCACATAATCTTTTAGGAGCAATAGAGAGAGAGCACAGCTTAAAAGATGCCCATCCAAACCTTTGGTTGTGATTGGACTAAATGAAAAAGGTTCATTAGCTATGCCTTTTTTTGCTGAATCTGTATGATATCATTGAGCTGAAGCTGCCCCTCCTGGGGTAGTTTTTATGTCTTTGTCTTTGAGCTGCAGATGTATTCCACAGTCAATTGTCAGGGGCTGCCTGCCTCTCAGTGGGACACATTCCTGTGAGTTACGCAGGATCTCAGACTGTGAAACTTTATTCAAATATCTATGGGAGGAATCTGGCTTTTATATTATTAATATAATCATTTTTTTTTACTTTCCTATGTCTTACAAGTTTTGGGTTTAATTCTTTTCCCGAAACAAGAGTAAGATGCAATTGATCTCCAAACTTTTTGAAAGAACTCCTGCTTGTATGTTGATAACTTTTCCTATATGTCGCATATCTTATTTAACATGCAATTAATTTTTATTTAGAGAGCACTTTATATTACTGAAAAGTTTGGCTCAGAATATGTTAAAAAACAAAAAATTGCATAACACAAACACAAAACAGAACACTCGAATACAAAATAGGTAAAAATAAAATGTTTACAGCATTTCTTTAATTGCGTATTTCTCAATCAAAGTTTATAAAGAACTATTTTTACTTACCCATGCAGGCTTACACAGGCAAATAAGTGGAAAATATGAATCTATCTATCTATCTATCTATCTATCTATCTATCTATCTATCTATCTATCTATCTATCTATCTATCTATCTATCTATCTATCTATCTATCTATCTATCTATCTATCTATCTATCTATCTATCTATCTATCTATCTATCTATCTATCTATCTATCTATCTATCTATCTATCTATCTATCTATCTATCTATCTATCTATCTATCTATCTATCTATCTATCTATCTATCTATCTATCTATCTATCTATCTATCTATCTATCTATCTATCTATCTATCTATCTATCTATCTATCTATCTATCTATCTATCTATCTATCTATCTATCTATCTATCTATATTTATATAAAAACACTACTAAACTATTTTCTCACCCCTCATGAGGTGGGTTGTATCATCCTCAAGCCCGGGCCTGGGAGTTTGAGGGTTCTGCTATATATCTATATATCTATCTATTTATATATATATATATATATATATATATATATATATATATATATATATATATATATATATATATATATATATATATTGTAAACACATGAATCGCCTTCTACTGTAGTTACAGTGAGCTTAGGGGGCTGACATCTCCCTTTTAAGTCTAATTCTACGTATTTTATTTCTGTAAAGATTGTATAATTGTGCATAACTAACCAAACTAGTTGTTCTTTGCAGAACCATAATTTCTAGTGAGATGGAGGTGTTGTTACCATTAATGGATCAGTGTTGAGTCTTGTTTTAACCGGCTCTAGCAATGAGCAATAGTTAGAAATGAAACTTCCTGTTCATTAAGGTTTGCAAACATCTTCCTGTACAGCTCCCCTGAGATACAAGCTTTCTTTCAAACAAGATAAGATCTGAACTTTGAGATTTTGCAAAGTCTTGACTGTTTTCTTTTTCTATCGGACTGTTGCTGTGTTTGAGATCAATGTCCTGTCCAGGACCAATTTTTACCTAAGTTATAGTTATCTGACAGAAGGCATCACTTATGAAACTTCAGTTTACAGAGGACTCAATAAGTATCTGAGAGGCTGTGGCTGCAAAATAATCCCAATTCATCACCCTCCTGCCATCATCATAAAAAGCTAGTGTAAGGAGTTTGTTCTTTTCTCCAAACATGAGGATATGCATTGCATCTTACAAGCTGTATGCATCGAAATCTAAAGTTTATAGCGACACATTTCTACTAACCTGTTCAGAGAAAGTTGTTCCAAAAATTGTGTGATTTATTCAGAGCAAACGTTACAAACTTGTGTCACACATCCATAATATTTATGGCAAGAAAACCATTTTTCATTTCAACTATCAAAACATCTGTCATCACATTGCTGTAGGAATTTTTGCAACCTCTCAGAGCAAAATGCAATCTGACCTAATGCTGCATAATATGCTTCAACAGTCAAACTAATTTTTTTATGATTGAGTTTGAATTACTTTTTACTTTCTTTATTAACCATTTTAACCAGTGTTTGTTTCTTTCTACCTTGTGGGATTGAGGCGGCAAACATGGAGGGTTTAGATAATCTTCTCTTATAAAGGGTAAGTAGGGCAAGGCCAGTTTATATGAATAGCACATTTAGGTTAAGATGGAAATCCTAAGTGGTTTACAATAAAAAACATAAAAAAAGGTGGCTTGCAAGGGTATAATACGAGCTGAAAAGAAAAGTGGGTCCCAACCTTAATCTGCAGTTTTACAGTTTTGCGGAAGTTTGTTGAGACATTAATCCTAATCCTGAAAATGTTCTTCAGCTGATATAAGGTTGACCCAGATTTCTGGCCTGATCAGTGGTTTTTAGCTGTAGCAATCCTTCTTTGGTCCAAAAACTACCACCACAGATTTTTTTTATTTTTTATTCAGGAGGAGAAAAGTTTTGCACACAACTGATTAGTTCTTTGAATCTACTTTAAAAATGGAATTACAGTCACCAGCTAAAGAGATTATTTACAGTTTTGTGCAATCAGCGTATATATGGTAACTTATCCTGTTTTCAATAGTTGATTAGATTAAAATGATAAAAAAAGACAAATTAACTTAATTTGAGCTGTTTTTATTTATTTATTTAACAATAATCCCTGGTTGGATCCTCATGTTTCCTTACAGCTTTTATTTGATATTAAATCATCCTACAAAGTACATATGAAAGGCTGAACAAAAAAGTGCAAGATGAATCTTTACCTGCTGTCCCTACTTTTTTGTTTTGTTTTCTTTTTCAAAGATAGAAAAAAAAAAAGGAGGGGTTACTTACGGCTGCTGAAGGAGGCTGAACTTCCTGATTTCATTCTCAGTCAGATTCTGTAAAAAAAATAAATAATGTAAATAATCTGAATCATTTATAAAATTATAGCCTTCACAAAAAATTGAACTGGTTTTATTTCAAAACTCTTCAAAGTTTCCCTGAAACACTTTTTTTCCTTCCACTCAACCTTCCATTGATATACTTGGATACAGCCTGCTGAGATATACCAGCTTCTTCAACCTTTTTGACCCATCCTCTTTAGATTTTAAATATTGATTACATTTTTTTAATAGAAATAGAGAAATAAATAATATCTATTATATATTCTAATTTATTGATATTTGCATTTTAAAGGATTTCACCATTAATTAAACCAGTTAGGGCAGATATATAAAGAAATGCATTGGTTCCTTAATAACAGTAGATGGCAGCACATGTCTGAAGGACATTTCACAAACAAAGCTTAGTTATTTCATGCAGTTTACACATTAGATATACTTACAAACAGTAAATATTACACTTATAATGTTTTTTATAGACTAGAATAACAACTAAATCATCAACTGAAATAGCTAAAAAGTATTGCAAAGGGGAACACATTACTAAACAATAAAATAAAACATATGAAAAGGGTGTTTGATTTGCTATTTTTGACTGAACTCTAAAAAACTCTGATAAAAAAAAAACATACCAAAATGATCAATTCAAAATGAGTTTGAATTCCTAAACCATTTAATCCCATTTCAACATGTGTGTTGTTGCAGAAAGTTAATTGTCATTCCTAAATGAAAAGAAAACAATTAGCATAAAATATGCAAGGAGCTCTGCTAAATTATGTATTCCCCTCTTCATTCATAATTCATAGCTGCGGGTCGTTATTCGTTCTAAGTCGCTTCTGTATCAAAATTGCTGTAATGTGATGAAGACCCATGACAGCAGATTTCTGAAAGACTTCGCATTTAAGTCTCCGGGATGAGAAACGACAGAAAAGTTTGTCGTAAGATGGTTATGCATTAGATACACATTAAAAACTATATAGATATCAATGATGTAGAAATGGGCCAATATGAGCTCGGAATCTGAGTGCTGAATGCACAAAGTGCTACTTTATAAGCCTTCTGTCAAAGCTGTTTAAAGATCCAATGAAATGTTTTATATAGAGGAGCTTCAGAAAGCAGCTCCCCCTACCTCAGGTTGTTGATATGGGAAAAGAAGCACAAACGATTGTGTTACCTCTAGGAATAAGCCCATTGCATAGCTGAAAGCCCTTTAGGCAAAGCTTGTGATTTAATCATTTGTAAATCAGAGAGAAGGATCACTTAATATGAAAGGCTTTGCTTTGTTCATATGACTGAACCTTGGCCTTAAAGAAACACACTTAATCATCGCACTGGCTTACAGGAGAGCAAAAAGCATTCGTATAAAATCAGACTTAGCCTTTTGACACAGAATAAAATATCAAACAGTCTGCCCCAGTGGATACTCAGGTACCTCTCCTTGCTTGAATTATTTATAGAAGTGTGTTGCTTAAATGACACACAGGGGCTCCTTTTTTGCTCTACAGAACTGGAGTCTTCACATTCAGCTTCATTTTAATTCTTAAAGTGCTTTTTCAGGTAACATCCAGTCAAATACGTGACCAGAAAGTGACTCTATGTAGTCCTTTACATCTGAAGTGTTGTAGAAAACACCTTCTTGGTGTTGCCACCATAATGTAGTCCTTATGTAAGCTATGTTTTACAAGACTTGAAGTTTCTGAAAATGGCCTCCATTGGCCAATTGGCCTAAGGGTATTGGTCAGACTAATAGAAAATAAGAGAAACAGTTCTTTCCCCTGACACTAACCATACAAGCTCAATTTATAGGTGATTAAATTAAATATTGTTTTTTCTATCTAGTTAAACTTCATTGATCTCATGTTGGAGAAGTTTACCTCTGCATTTAACCAATCCCCTTGGGGAGCAGTGGGCTGCCATTGTACGGCGCCCGGAGGGCAGTGCGGGGTTAAGGGTCTTGCTCAGGAGGCTGTGGGGATCAAACTGGTCACATGCAACTTTCTCAGAGCACAAGCGCGCTGCTCTAACCACTGGGCCAACACTCCCAGATGCACAGTCATGAAGCAGAGCCAGAGAGGAACTGGGGCAAGTTTTCATTATAAGTGCAAACTGCAAAAACAATGTAAAAATGAGTAAAGATTTCTTAGAATAGGGGTATTTATCCTTAATTTGAGTTCTGTAAGTAGATGAGTTGCCAGTGGAATAAGTATCTTTACCCACAAAATAATACAATTGGATATTAAACAATTGAAATGAAAGACTGTAGTTGTTTTTCCTTGATTTAAATGTAAATATGTCTTATTCCATTAGCAAAGAATGTCACTTACCTCCTCAGTTCATGAACAAATGCACTTATTTTAAGAAATATTCACTCATTAACAGTACATTTTTTGATAATTTTTTTGTGCAGGAGCTTAACCTGCCACACAATTTTCGGGGACTCCTGCTGACATCGGTCTACTACATGTTAGCAGGGAGAAAAGGAATATTTTAAATCTGAGTGACAGGTAATTTTGCTACTAACCGGTGCAGGAGTGTGAAATTTTCATTCACTTGTGCCACTTCTTGCTAACAAAGGAGAGACTAAAAATACTCCTAATGCATCATCTGTGAAAAACTAGAAAGACTGCAGAACTGAGAGATAAATATGTCTATTAGTACCAATTAACGTCACAGAAATGATGCTGCTTTGATCCTATGTGTAAGAAAGAGAAATATGATGATACAGATTAGATTTTAGTCAAAAATGATTTCTTATTTTTGGAGGAAATAAGAAGATAAAAAAGGAAACTTGAGAGCAAACTGTCTCTGAGTTTTTAACATGTTATAATCCAATGCTCTCCAAGTCTGCTGATTGAAATGGCTTAATTAGGTATTTCAGCGTGCCATCAAGTTTGGCAAATGAGCAATTCATTTCATTCAGGTGTTACTGGTTCAAGTTCACCCAGACGCTTAAAGCTCCCTCTCCTTTCCTTCTGATTATATATTAGACTATTTAGCACAGAACATGTTTTTCTAGTGTGAAATCTCAGTTTGAAGCAAACATGGATTGAGGCCATTGTTTCTGTTCATGTTCAGTTTGCTACTGAAATGACAACCAAACAGCATCATTGCCTTTGACAGGTTTGTTCAAGCTGTTGTTGCTAAAAATGAGTTTTCATTTGGCAACAGACAGAACGGTTTCTCAGCTATATGCCCACATTATTAGCTCCGGTTCTTTCACAGCAGCTGCACAAGGTCTCCTGACTGCTGTTAGCTGCTAGACCTCCAACATGTTCACAGGTTGGCTTTAAATGTCTGAAAATTACAGATGTGACAAGCTAATTCCAGGGCGATGTGTTTATTTCAGGTTATAACTCTGGCTTTTGGTCTGTCTTTGCCTTTTTTTCTCTCCATCATCCATCACGTTGTAGCACTAATGTATATATATATATATAAGTTTTTAAAACCGTTAATAATAAAGTCCACTCTTAGACTGGTTTTCTTGACACAATCATCAATAACTATAGAATAAATTCCCCTAACATGTTGCTAAAGATGTGTGCACGGGCTGTCCTTTTTGACTGGTCTTTGTTTGTAGTGTTCATGTGATACATAAAGCTAAAAGTGACTTCCTTACAAAGCTGCCAAACACAGGCAGCATCCCAAAGATACAGGGTGACACTTCTTTGATCTGCTACATGTATTTTTTTTTTACCTTGTCTACCTGTGTGAGCAAATCTGACTTCAAAAAGAGAGATTACCTTTATCTTCACTGCACTGACTGCCTGTCATCCCCAGCCCTGCTGTAGTATTCAGAATTAGTCAGTATTTTTCACACTTTTCATTCTCCCTTCTAAACTGACAGAAAATTGGAGGCTAACTTTTACAGTTTTTCATGGCAGAGCCTGCTGTTATGAGCAATATAACAGCATATAAGTTTCTATATCATCAGTATTGATGTTGATAATTTTTGACATTTGATCATTAACTTCTTTAAGTTAAAACAGCTTAAATCCTGTCAAAAAAAGTTTTAAGTTTATCTTCTGTTTAAGGGTGTCATAGGATGAAATAATGTTGTTGCTGTATGTTTTTTTAATTTGCATGCTTTTAACCAAAAATGAGTCCCCTTTTTACTTGAACGTGTTGAACCACGAATGAGGTGCAGCCAATGATTTGAATAGGGCTGAAACAATTAATGGGATTAATCGTGATTAATTTATTATTGAAATTATTGTCAAGTAATTTAGTAATCAAATAATCGTCAACTGGAGTATGGAGACTGTAGAATATGTCTTTAGCTGATAGAGCAACTCACTTAGAGCAGTAACTATATCAAAAGAGTAAAAAAATATATAAACATTTTGCATTTAAGATAAAAAAAAAACTTTTGGTCTCTTAATCTGCTCTATCCAGAACGCCTCAAATGGAAAAGTTTTTGTTTCACCTGGTTTAATTTAGTCAAATATCTTCTTTAAGGATTCTTTAGCTATCCGAATTTTGATTAATTAATCAAAGAATAACAGAGAGATTAATCGATTTGCAAAACAATTGTTAGTTGCAGCCCCAGACTTGAGTATCTAATAGGAAGTGTTTGAAATGAGCTGACAATGAGCTCTTTTTTCTTGTTTTTCACTTTCAAATGTTTTCAATATTCATATGTTTAAGTATCATTCAAAGTTTAGTAAAAAGATAAAACAGTTTTAGACAGAATATTATAGAAATTTCGCCATCTAAGCAAACCTGTGTAAAAAACAATTTCCTTGTTAAACCTTGTGGTTAATTACTTCTTAGCCCCTTGAACCCTACGGACCCACCGGCGGGTCCAGCTGCTACGAGACCTCGTAATTTTACCAAACCCCCAGTATTGATGTAAAAAACATATTTGGCACAGTTTGGTGACATTTATGGATAAATGTGCCAAAATGGCCTCTCCGCCTAAGAAATTTCTCACTAATACCTTTCTAAAATAAATATGATTCATCTGATTGAGTCCAAATTTGGTATATTTTTACACAACA